GGAAATGATGGTTGATATTGCGTGACAAAGGGCAAAATGGTTTTTCTTCTTGAAGGCTTTTGTTGGAGTGCTTTTTTCCCGTTTTCAAAGTGTATTTCAGAGAGTCAGAGTTATTACATTCTGTGGATATCCTCTCTCTCTACGGTGCTTTTGGAATTCTTCTAGTCGGTTTTGAAAGTTTTCTTTTGAGTTATTTGTTCTGAGTAATCGGAGGGCAACTGATAGAGAACCAACCTCTTCTTAGACAGATCTACAAAGAACCTCCAATTTTATCGCGCGATAACTTAAGTAGCAAAAAAAAAAGGAAATGTCATGTCCGTTACGGGCCACCGTAGCAAAGTGATGAAGAAGCAAGCACTGTGTCAAAATGGAAAAATGCATATTGCAACCAATTCGCCTTATTTTGGTTTGCAAGACAAAGCTTCCTCGGGGCCTATTAAAAAAAAAATAAAACAAAAAATTAAGACAACCGAAAGGATCGTTAAAGGTTTGAGATTTTTGTAGGGAAGGTCGCGGGGGATACTGGGAAGGATAAACGAGCAGTGCTACGCGTTTATTTCAAAATTAACCCCCGGAAAACTCTGCACGAGTCTGGAATGAGGAAACCTTTCCTTAGTCTTTTACGTTTTCAATTGTCTACCCACAAAATTTACCACACAGGATTTACATAAAGGATTTCCCTGTCACGAAACACTTTTACATTTCAAACCACAAGAATACTCACTTATTGTCCGCTTGCTATAAAAGAAGTTAATTTAGCTTTTAAATATTTAGTACTTCAAAGTATTTAAAGGCCTACACATTACCCTTAGCTCCTTGCACAGCTTGGTCAAGCTTAACTTTTAAGAAACAACATTCTACGCCTTCAACTAGGATTTGGTATGTAGTGTGTTAAATATTTGACTTTTAATACCTTAAAGTGAATCATCTGATAAGAAGTACTTGTCAAGCTATCTTATTTGTGTTCTTTCTTGAATCCCAAATTCTTTCCAATTATAGTCATGGCAAACTATGTTCGCAAGTTAGATTTTGTTAAATTGGCTTGTTTTATTTACTCTGCTGTGGATCAATGCTGTTTATGTGACTTAACCTGATATTCAGAAGCCTTGAACACTGTCATCCCACTACGAAGACGGATTTTGTTTTGTTTTTTTCATTTCACATTAAAAGTCACACTGAAGTCCCTGACAATTGATTCTTAACTAAATCAGTGTTCAAGTCGATCATACTTTGATTGTCATGTTTCAGTGTTTTTCGGCCATATTCTTTACGAGATAATTTCGACTGCCATATATTATTCACGGATTCGGTTCATGGTTTTCGCATTTATCATTGAAAGATTCCGTTCCGAACGATTATTGCCAAATTTCAGTCAAATTTCGACCGGCCACCCGCACGTAACATCCCTTGCAAAGGAGATAGCGACTCAAGAGTATTTCCCTTTTCAGCAGGAAATAACGGAAACTGTAGAATACAAAGTTATACCTATTCCAAAAGGAACTTTGGAAAGCATTCGTGACGTTATCTGTCTTTAGTACAATTAATGCAGTTGTAACGCTAACGAATCATAGTTACTAAATGAGGCCCCACTTACCGCTGCTCGTCAAGTTTTGTAATTTACACAAGCACCTTTTTCCTTGTCAAGGAAACTTGTTAGAAACTTGAGGTTTAGGTTATAGTGATTATAATTCCTCGATATTCTTATTGAAAGGACAATACAAGCATACCAAAGAACATTTTTTTTTTCTTTCAAAACTTAATCCTGTCGTGCTCCTAAACAACCCGTCACTCGCTTGTTGGGAATGATAAAACTGCTTCTTGTAACCAGGTAAAACCTTTTTAATTTGACGCAATCTTATTAACGTCGAACGACGGCTGGGCACTGAGTATATGCACGAAAACTACATTAATGCATGTAGCTTTCTCGGCGCTGTTTCATGGTGCTGTCTGTATTTATGCATAATGATATTAATAATACTAAATGATAATAATAATAATAATAATAATAATAATAGCACGTAGTTTTCTTATAATTTTTTCTTTTGCTTTTTTAAAACAAGAATGCTCTACTTGTTTTTTGCTTTGCGCATGCGTAATGGCACGCTTTGCAGTAGAGTCAATAGACCCTCTTAGTTTGTATGATTTGTTTTCCCGATGAAGTTCATAGAAAGTACTCAACGGAATTGCCCGGAAATGTCTTTTCTTTTCAACAAGGAACGTGAAAAAAACGAAATTCAAAAATTATAAAAATAAAAACAGTTCCCTAGAGAAGACAGAGAAATATCACATGACCCATATCTAGGGCTTTCCACAAGTTGCTCGAGATTTTCCACAAAGTTTCCCGTTATTTCTCAAAAGCTGCTCAAAAAGCAATCAAAAGTTGCTTTTAGTAAGGAAAGTTGCTCAAAAAGTGCTCGAAAAGAAAAAAACTTTTTTGGGTCTGATGCTAAAATATACAAATTGTACAACAAAAGTAAGATCCAACGTTTATAACCAGCAGGATATTCTTCACGGTTATTGCAGTTATTTTAATTCCGTTATTATTAAGGTTTCTAAGCATTTTTGTGCAATTTTGCGGCGTAACCAGCTTTGCGAACTGAATGAACCATCATCTTTCCCATGTCATTTCATGTCAGTAGAGCTTTTTTTTATACTTATTTTACGACTATCGTTTTCTTTTAATGGTAATGAAGTTGTCTTTCACGTCTCAAACTTACCACAAAAGCTCTATTCCCATTAAAGGATCATGATCCTACATGTATGTTTTAAGCACACTCCCGACGTCTCCTTTTTTTCCAGAAACTTTTCCCTTTTTTACCGATTTTAGGAGGGATTTCAACTGCCCCTGAAGCTTGCTTAGCTACCATTTTGCTTGTTTAAAGTTCGGGATAAATACCCTGTCTAAATTATCCTGTAATGGGTGACAAAGCCAGTGAGTTAGTTGACACACGTTTCCATAAAGGCTCTTTTGTATTGCAAACATGAAAAAAAAATGAAGCTTAGCTCATCAAGTCCCTTTGAGCAACGCTGCTTTCCGAGCTACCTGTAAGACTGACAACAAACACTCCAACTTTGAACGAAGCGGAGCTGAGGGGAGGAAGGGTGCAGATTGTTTTGTTCTCTGAAATACCCATCTGCGGTCATTATACAGTAAAAACCCGCTACTACACTAAGAACTTGGTTTTAGAACCTGTTTAGCCTGAGATTTGAAACAGGCTCACTCTTATTTTTTAAAATCTATTTTTTTTTAAAAATTGTACACTTGGACAATAGGACTTCAAAATTTATGTGGTCGGCGCTTCAGTTTTTCTTCTCATAGTCATTTCTGTACTAATTTGGTATGCAGTTTTTATATAGGCGAACATTTGTTTACACATTTTTTGCCTATTAACATATGCTCATCATTATCTGATGAAGATAATAAAATGAATCCTCTGAATATTGAAAGAGAATAACAATTTCAGTTATCTCTGAAAATTTGAGCCCGATATACCGAACGGTTTCGAAGAAATTCTCTTTTAAAGACTCGAAATTTTACCGAAGAATGTATTTTTTGCCACCCAGCAATTCCACAGTTTTCGATGGCTGATATTTCCTTCAATATTGCATGCAAAGAGCTAAACATTACACAGATTGGTCAAGTTAATCAGCTCTTTCAAAGAAAACGTCACTTGAAGTGAATTTGCGCTGCCTTAAACTCCATGTTGTTTAATTCGGCAAAGAAATGTAGAGAAAAGCGTGATTCAAGTGCAGAGTTGTTGTTTTGCCAATCTCAACCTATTGTTTTTTTGCCGTTCCCGTTGACTTCGCCGTCATCGGTGCTTAAGCTCCCTAATAGAAGAGTTTGCACTGCGCCCGCTTGACTGAGTTCAATAAGTAAAAAATTCTGCCCCGTCCCCGCCCACAACCCCGCCTCTGGTACTTCGTGCAAAAGCTGTTGATGCTCGTGCGCCCTGTAAAATCGGCTGCAAAAAAGAAAAGCAGTTACAAGGGAACGCCAAACATCGCAAACCAAATTTCTTACCTTTGAACGGTGAAGAAAGTAGTAATTCACTTCATTTAAAAGTTTCTCTAACTGGCACCGCGTTCAGGCGGGTATTGGAGCTTAAGCAGAGACGTTTTTGAGCGACGCACGTTGACTGGAAGTGAGAAAAAAAATGGAAGTGAGCCTTCTCCCTTTTTATATGCCTTGACGCTAACAAATTTGTATTGCAAAATTTCGTTTCGCTTATAAAGACGATTTACCCGAGAGTTTCAACCAAACCACTCCCCAATGATGCAAAAAGTCCACTTCCGGTTAACGTCCGTCGTTATCGTTGTTTGTTTGCCGTTGAATGCGCGCAGTCTTTCTTTTGCTCGAAAATCTTTGAGGGAGTGCAGATGTGAGCGCACTATTCGCTGCTCGTGGCTTCGCTCCTCAAATACTCACATATAGCAATCGCAATCGCTCAGAAATTTGTGTTTGCCGCCCCAAACTCCCCCCCTTACCTAACGCAGATTTTATCCACAGCAGTCAACGTTGTGTAAAATCACCCTCGATAGCGATGTCACTACTCTCTGATCTGGTAATATTAGATGTTTGTTTGGCTTCCTTAATCGTGCATGAATAGGCCTGTGTTCGTGTCTGGATACGAGGAAAAAACGGATGTTGTTTTAGCTTTACTTGGCAACCATCGACCCAGGGGGAGGGTAGGAGGGGCAGAACTGTTCGAAGACAACGAGATAAATAGTTTAGCAGAAAGTGTTAGAGCCAAAGTCAGCATTTTTCAAAAAAGAATAAAGAATTCCTACCTTGAGTCTTTATCTTTCATTGAAACACGCAAACCTGCACGAATAAACTTGAGCAAATAAATCGATAACTGCTGTTCATGTCACTCTTCCCTAGAGGAATTCAACTCCACGTTGCAGCACGAAATCGAGGCAGCCATAATTTCTTCGAAAGACTTGAAGTCCTTCATAAACCTCTACAGATTTCACAGTATCCACCAATATCACCTGAA